ATGAGCATATGAGCAGGATTCCCATGCAAAAATAACAACAAGGACGACATAAAAATGTCAATGTAAATCAATTTCCACCGAAATGAACTTCATTTTGTTTTGGTCTTTCGGGGCAACGCGACCACATAAATGTTGTTGAGGTATTTCGGGGCCCAATAAAAGCAAGAAAACTGAACTGGGTCTATATGAATATTTATGGGGCAATTGCCGGGGACCAAAACACGAAACAAACATGAGCATGACACAATAAATAATCTAAAATTCTATGCAATTACCAAATGTCATATGGCCTTGTTTCCGGTTCGTGTCAAACCACATGGCTGATATGCTGGGATGATATTCAGGAAATAACGCGAGTTTCCACTTTAAAGGTTCACTGGGTGTCCCCTATCCCCTATCCCCTATCCCACCTTCCCATTCCATTTTTTTGAGGTTTATTTATTCAATTAAATTGCCATTACTTGTGCTGATAATTTCATCGAAATATTGCAATTGAATGTTGAGTTTTGGCCATCAAAAGCCACAAATAAGTGTTATTAATTTGGCAACACAATCGCACGCACTCAAAAACAATTCGGCCCACATTCGCATGGAAAAGTTGAAAATAGCAAAAGCCAATCTGCGAGAAAAGGACATAAATTGTTTCGCTCGCCGCAATGGTTTTGGCTAATTTTTGGAAAACTCTTAAATTGTTTTTAATCGGCTCGGCAGGGTGTCGCAAGTGTGGGTGGTTTTAATGATAAGAATTCCAATAAATTATTTTTAAGTGCTTAAATGCAGTGACATAGTTCATAATTCACGTAATTAAATATTATTTATTTAAAAATAAATAAATTTGATTTATGGTACATCACCCTGTATATCAGGGTATAGCCTATCCTTACCGGCCTCACGACCCATATTTTTCTGTTTGTGTCATTGAAACCGTGTTTGGCCTAAACGCCTGCATAGAGAACTAAATATTTATTTATTTGTACAAATGTCTGTTCATAAAATATGATTACCGAGCACTTGAGTGTTAGGCCTGCAAAATGTATATTTATTATTTATTTTCCTTTGTGTGACATTCATTATTTATTTGTTTTCCTGTGCTGCTTGACCCAATGCGACTTTATTACGCCCAGACTGTCCTGCACAGAAATTGTTTGTCCGTGGGCTTTGCCTCTGGACAGCTAACTCAATTTATTTTGTACGTAGTGCACGAAGATTAAATTTAATTGTGCCTAGACATTTTTTGAAGTATGTGTTGTGCAGGGGGAAGCATTATTGCAATAGTTTATAACCCATGTTCCGACGACAAAGCTAATGTATTGAGATACCTAAATCTGATTTCAGTACCCCCAAAGGACTGGAGGATGTGTCTTCATATCCGACTCTATTTGCTGAACTTCTTGGCGGCGGCTGGACAATTGATGAGCTCACCAAGCTGGCTGGCGGCAATTTCCTCAGGGTTATGCAGCAGGTGGAAAAGCTGAGGGATGACAAAAAGGCGGCGGGCGTGAAACCCTTCGAGGATCATCCAAACTTCCGCACGGACGACCCCTACAATTGCACGTCCAGCTAATTGAGCACCGGACCCAAGCACACTGAGGTTGTACCAGAAATGCCGGGGAAGTCCCCAAAATCGTAGGGAAAAGCGAGTGAACTCCTGCTTCAGATGTATAGTGCATAAACCTATGTAGCAAATTTAAAGAATATAAATTTAACTAACGATATACATAGATACTTACGACTCGTATAAGGTTTAAGTATATATTTTTAAGGTACATAAACATGTAAATGCCTGATTATTTGGCTAGGGAAACAACTTCCTCTTTCGCCGTGGTATTCGAATCGAATTTCTTTTCATTTTGTGACAATCTACAGACTGCCAAGCAAAAGCACACCTACTTATTAATTGCACCAGAGGCCCACACAAAATTGATGTAAAACCAAGTTATTTTCTACCTCGAATCCATATAGAACCCGGACTTTGTTAGCTCATCTCCAACTGGACCAACAGCACTCCACTTCTTTCCTGTGAAGCTTCAATTATTCCACTAATTTACATGAAAACTACATATCAAGCATGTTTTAAACTAAGATATTTAATTGAAAGTATTTGATTTAGCATTTGATCCAATGCGAATACTTATACTTATGAGTGGGAAAGCATACACTTATAAATAATGAGTAAAATAATTGAATACCTTAGGTTCAGCGGGGCGGACGTAATGAAATGTTTAGTTAAATTTTTAAGCAGTTTGGGGGCGTCAAAACTGAAAGAATAAATAGCGTAATAAATACTAAATTAGTTCGTAAGCAAAGTGTAGGCGTGGCACTGCCTGCTGCACGAACATTGTACATACTCGTAGATTCCGAGGAGAATAAGTATAGGAACAATTTATAATGATATAGAAGATTTCCAACATATAGTGCATACATACTACATTCGTTTTCACCTACCACACAGATACATAGATCTCTCAGTCAGTCTCTCTGTACCTTCTAAACAAAAAGAAAACAAAAGATGAAATATAGAAAAATGCGAAAACGTAGCCTAAGTAAACAAATTATACATGCTATACATACAACATATTTCAAGCAAAAACCGAAAAAAACATACCCAAGACAAAATCAATAATTGTACATTTTCCAAACCGAAACCGAATAATAAATTGTAAACACCTTTATAACGATTAGCATGAGAATCTACGGTTACGTTTTGTACGACTTTGTATGTGTATATAGCATTTTTACCTGTACGCTGATTTGTATGGTCATTATATAGTTTTCTAGCAAACGATTCGAGCGTATTATTGTACTGGGTCTGATGAGCAGATTTGTTGGTAATCGCTTAGCTATAAGTCTGGCCTGGAAGGTCGAAAATAAATATCTTGTAAAGTTTATACATATACGAATATGCTTAGACCTAGAAATAAAACCGAACTAGCATAGAAAGACATGCATATATACACTACAACTCGATTCTCCAAATGTCTTTACACTTATTTGATCTCTTCCTCAGTTTGAAATTAAACAGAAACAAACACACAATCTCAGACACGCATATTTAAACCAAATTGTAGTTAAAAACTTGAAAATGGTAAAATGATTAGCGAATAAATCTCTAAAGGCAAACCAACTGCAGTAAATATAAAAACAATTAAAGAAAAGTCTTGTTTTATTGCTGGAACTGGGCATGTTAACCTAACAATGCAAACAATATTTTGAATTTTCGCGCCCAACTGCGTTGGTATTTAATTCGATTTTTGGTATTCGCTGATATCAAATCGCGTGGATAATTTTCAGTGTCTTATTTATCACACAGCGGGGAAGTTTACTAATTAGGGTGATTTAGCTTTACAATTCACGGATGTTCTTTTGCAGATTCCTATTTAAATTAATATAGGTATTTCGTGAGATGAAACATTTTATCAAAAATACTATAACTATCGCCTGAGAACAGACCTGTGTACGGTCACATTGATGTAACACCGAGACCACTTGTGCTTTTGTGGCGATGGTCACACTCAAAAATCGCAACAAAATAACATTTTGGAATTTTTTTACAAGGAACTCAAAAAGGAACAGCCAGTGCATGATTGAGGATTTGAGCGCCTCAGAGACCCACTGCCAGATCGAATGGCGTCCGAGCAGCGGGATGGGGATGTCCTTCTCCAGCTGCATCCCGAGGAAGTCGGGCAAAGTGTCGCACAGCTGCCCGAGCGAATCGAGCGCTGTTCTGGACTAGATTACAACGATTTTTTCTGGCGCTACATGCACAAGAATATTCCGGTCGTAATAGCGGACGTGTCCAACGACTGGGAGTGCCAGAACTGGACTGTAGTCCAGGAGTCGCGGGATCTCAACTCCAATCCGAGCGCATCTTCCATCAACTTTGACTACCTCAAAACCAAGATCAGCGATTGCCCGGTTCCAGTTGCCGATTGCAATTCGTCGTACTTCAACAGTCACACCAAGCTGGAGCTCAACTTTCACGACTACCTGGCGAAGTGGAGGAGTGGCATCGAAAACCAATCATCCGATCGTCCAGCGTGGACGTCGGCGGAAGAGAATAGCAATGTGGTTGCCGCGAGCAGGGACAATCTCTACCTCAAGGACTGGCATCTGGCTGCCCAAATGCCGGGCTATAACTTCTACAAGGTGCCTAAATACTTTGCCTCCGACTGGCTAAACGAACAACTGATTCAGCAGGGGAAGGACGACTACCGATTCGTCTATATGGGGCCCAAGAACTCATGGTCTGTTTTGATGATGTCTGACCTGTCTTTCTCATACTAAATCACTTTCCATTTTAGGACCTCCTATCATGCGGATGTGTTTGGCTCCTTCAGTTGGTCAACCAATATTGTGGGCCTCAAGAAATGGCTGATAATGCCTCCGGGAGAAGAACTGAAACTAAACGATCGCTTGGGAAATCCGCCCTTCAGTATAGACGAGAAAATGCTGGATGAGCACCACGTCCGATATTACACCATTAATCAGCGGGCCAATGAAGCTGTGTTCGTGCCCAGTGGATGGTTTCATCAGGTGTGGAATCTCACGGACACCATATCCGTCAATCACAACTGGTTCAATGCCTGCAATATATCCTTGGTCTGGCAGAACCTTAAGAACAACCTGAAGGCCGTTTGCAACGAGATCTCCGACTGCCAGCAAATGGATAACTTTGAGGCCCACTGCCAGACAATGCTGAGGGCCAGCTTTGGTATCAACTACCTCGATTTTATAGAACTCCTGGAGTTTATAGCCGCTCGCCGATTGGCAGAGGGAACCGTAGCCACCAAATTTTTACTATTCGATAGCTACACAATGAATGATTATCATGTGCAATACGATCTCGAGTGCTTAAGGAAGATCACCCGCACTCTGACAGAGGATCCGACTATCCAGTGTAGTCCGCTTCAATTAGAAGATCGCTGCCAGGGACTGCTCGGCCGATTAGAGTTTTAGAATAAGCATAGCAAAATGCCGCGGCATATTTTTGTACCAAACTTGTATTCATATACAACCGAAAGTCGTAATATTTTAATACAGACATTTAGACACCAACTACTCGCCCTCGGGCCAGGTGAACTCGCCGCTGGTGGGTTCCGTCCTTAGCCAATAGCACTGGTCGATGACCTGGAAGCCAAGTTTGCTAAACATTTCGGACGAGGGCTTATTACAGGGGTTTACGAGGGCCATTACATCGTGGCCCTGGGCGGCTATGCGGTATGCCATTTCCCTCGTCACGACACTGCCAAATCCCCGACGCTTGTGAGAATCTTTCACTTGCAGGGTGCCCAAGAAGCCGCCTTGTGACCTGCAGATTTTTACATTAGGTAGTGGGTCTTTATAGAAATATATATGTCTACCTGATGCACCAGGCAACTAGTTCCTGGGTATCTTCCTGGTACAATCCCGCACTGATGCACAAGCGAATCTGTCTTTCTATGAAGAACAAAGATCCCACATGATGATTGGGCCACTCTTCGTTAATCAAAGGGGCGTCTGCCACGCTCAGCGACTTTAAAACAAATCCAACTGGGGGTCTACGATGGAGATAAAGATGAAGATCTTAAGCAACTCATTCTGTTAAACAGAGTATTATTTCTTACTCAACTTTCAGCTTGAGAGCGTCCTCAGCTTTCATATAAAACAAATTCGTGCAATCCCTGAATACGAGGTCCAACTTTTTAGACTCTACCACACTGTCCAGGGCATCCATATGTCTGGAGGGTACTGAACTACATTTCAGACCCGTCGACCAGTCCAATAAATCCAAAGCTGTTCTAGCAAGACCGCTTGAGTTGTTCAAGCAACCTACGAAAAGTTGATAGCGATCCTAATTTTTACTCGGGTAAGAAACAGTGAATACAATCATAAACTTATACACTCACCACTATGACAAAGAGACCTTCATCTCTGGCCTGTTTTGTATCCAATGTGTACATATCAATATTCCGCATGTGGGGTTGTTTTTTCAGAAATTCCACAAAATTGTCAAGGCAGTAGTATTCCTGGCAATATTTCGGCCAGTTTTGCTTGTAGAGCTGCTGGAATTCCTGGATATCTTTCAATCCAATAACTTCTAAGCGAGTACCCATATCTGTCGAGCGGAGCAATCTTCTCCGCCAAGCAAGCGAGATTAAATGGCTTATTTGGTTGTTGATTGGTGACTAAATCAAGCAGCTTGAGTATTTCTCTTTGAGTACACACGTGTATATCTCTTAAAATCGTTATATTCTCTTAGCTCTCTTCTTTTTATGCGGAAACCTATAGGCTATTAATCATCTTTATTAGTTTCATCTACAACAAAAATACATTTACAGGCAAGCAAGCCCTTAACCTAATCAATCCCCTTTTGAGGGCTCCGTTATCAGCCAATGACACTGGTCGTTGACTTTGAAGCCTAGTTTGGTGAAAAGGCTCAAGGATGCCTCGTTCTCAGGAACAACTTCGGTGATTGTATCGCGTCCCAGCAGAGCCTCTTGTCTGGAAAATGCCTTCACAATCAGTTGGCCGAAGCCCCTGCGTTTGTAGGACTCCTTGACTTTAAGGATTGCCAATAAGCCATCTGAAGCCCTGTCAAGAATGGTAATTGCGAATTCAGTTCTAGCAGCATTAGTTTCACAGGACTTACCTAATGCACCAGGCCACGAGCTCTTTGGTTTCCTTCGTGTACAAGCCCACACTGGTGTCATACAGAATTTGGCGGTGGATCAGGGAGAGGGAATCCGGCTCACTCCATTCCCAGTGATCATTGATCACTTGGGCATCCTTTATGTCTACAGGCTGAAGGGAAAACCCGGCTGGAGGTCTGGGTAAGTTTAAATAAGCCTTAGGGTATAGTGCAAGTGCTTGCTTCGGAACTTACTCAAGTTGGAAAAGCAGGGCTTCCTCTTTGCTTAAAACCAGGGAAAGGGTAACACTGTCTAGGTTTATTTTCAAGTTCTTCGCTTGAATAATGTCGTTGGCAACATTGAAATACCTTTTTGGCATTGAAGCGAATTGTTCGCCTCCACAGAGGTTAAGTTTCAGTAAGGACTCCTTGAGAAGGCGTTCTGATTTTTCAGCCTCCAGGACGCCAAGAAATATCTGATAATGATCCTTTACGATCCACAAAACACAAATATGAAAAAAAGTCGCACATTCTCAGGAACAATCGCATTTATACCACAATCACGAATAATCCGAGTTCTAGATTGTGAAGAGCATACACCTGCACTTCCTTCAGTTGATCGTCCTTCTTATGGAGCTCCAGAAAAGTATCCAAGCAATAATACTCCTTGCAGTACTTTGGCCATTCCCGGGTGAAAACAGCCTTCAGATCTCCCAACTGCTGAATGCCGACCCGCTGCAGATGATCCATTTCGGAAACTGGTCCCCGGCAACTAGACAGTGATTCAATTTATACACTGAGATAGCGGGGCACTAGATATATATTTTCCTAAATCTCTATTTGCTGTCTGGCCCTATTTCCTGTTGCATCTAGATAGCTGGAAGCCTTTTGGCTTGAATGTGATCTCAATCATTTGCTGTTTGGCAGTGAGTCAGGCAATAAGTTTCGAGTCGGGACGGGAATGGGGAATTGTGAAAATAATTAGCTGGCGATAAACAAGCTTTCAACTGATGCAGTCAGTTTCTTCAAGCGAAACAACCTTTCCGATCAAGTAACCGAACCAAAGTGCGTGATGAAGTGCAGCTTGTCAAGCATCATCTGTACTTTGTATAAAGAATAATTTCTCTATCAAAATTCCTATATTCTTTAAGAATGATCGCTTACAGCGCTTACAACTACAGAAGTATGTAGAAGTTCAGACCAGTCAGATATTAAAAAGAACACAATGGTAAGCAAACCCTGGATTTCCGTCTTCAGCCAACTGATCCTTGATCCCAAGGCCTTGTTGTCTGCCTTTGGAGTCTGGCTCTATTCGCCGCAGGGCCAAGAAATCTGCCCACCTTCTGCTGGCCTGATCATGCTCCAGTAGTAGTGTTCGCCCTGGATCAACTTGAAATGGAGTTTCTCGAACACTCGACAGGCAGCCGTGTTGTTCATGTTGACCAGGGCCGTGATATCCTGCTGAAGATCGGCTGCGATTGCTTTGGAAATGGCGGCGGCTACTACTAGTCCCAAGCCACGACGTTGGTGGGTTGGGAGCACTTCTAGAGCTCCGAGGAATCCACTTTGCAGCCTGTAAGACAAGGTTAAGGAAACCAATTTAGCGAGCGACTCCCGAGTTGGTTCTTTTGGTCTTTTCCCACCTCAAGCACCAAGCGCACAATGAGCCCGACTCCTTCTCATACAATCCCACATTGGTATTGTAAGCTATAAGCATCTGAATGAGCTTCAGGGAACCCGGATGACGCGCTGACCAAAGATCGTTGATCTGATCTGCATGTTCCAGCCGCACTTTGTCCAGATAGTAGCCCTCCGGGCACTTGACCTGCAATCGCTCGGCCTCCTTACGGGTCAAGATATACATGATGGTGTTCATTTCCCGATCCATGTGGAGCCTGAGGTCCAGTGCCAGCTCCTTGTAGATCCTGTGGTGGGTCTCGTGGATAGCGCTGACTTTGAAGCCTCCCGACCAGTCCAAGTGTTCCAGCGCGGCTAACAAGTCGGACTTTCGTCTGCTCAAGTTGCTGAAGAACAGCTGATACCGATGCTAGGATGAGGAGTTATCAGTGAGATTAGTTCGTAAGGTTCGTAAGACACCTACCACCAGTATAAACAATCCATCGCTGCGCCAATCATCATCCAAGGTGTAGAAGGTGAGGTGCTTCAAGGTCGGGTTCCGATGCAGCCATCTCAAGTAATTGTCCAGCCAGAAGTAGCCGACGCAGTTGTTGGGCCAATCCGTCAGATACAGTTTCTGCAGATCCTTCAGGTCGGCTACATCCGTGATTCTCGTCAGCTGCCCTACGGTTGCCATGCCAAAGAGAACTGCTACACTGTTTATGGCCACCCACTTGTTTGCTTGTTGATAAGATCCCAGAGAATTGTTATACCCTTGTGAAGGTATCATGGCTTATGCGACTACTTCAATCCCCATAAACATGAAAGAGCTCGTAGTAAACTCTTTGTAAACTATGTATGTTATACATACTATTATTTACCTTCATAAATTTCACAGAAGTAATAGTCCGTCTTTTGGAAATAACGTGTAAAGAGATTTTTTGATAAATTAAAGAGTATGTATAAGTTCGTCTATCTTGAGTATCCATGTGAACGTTTTTGTAAGACCTGCTTGTGAAAACGGAAAAACGTTTGATGATTAATGACCGGCAAATACCAGATAAATTAACTATTACCTTCATAAATTTCACAAAGATATAGTACTGCTATTGGAAATCAACGTGTAGAGATTTTTGATAAATTAAAGATATATTTATATAAATATAAATATATATAAGTTAAATATACTATTATTTACCTTCATAAATTTCACATAAATAACAGTCCTTCTTTTGGAAATCAACGTGTAAAGAGATTTTTGATAAATTAAAGAGTATGTATAAGTTCGTCTATATTGAGTATCCATGAGAACGTTTTTGTAAGACCTGCTTGTGAAAACGGAAAAACGTTTGATGATTAATGACCGGCAAATACCAGACATAAGATTTATTAATTAACGACATTTTTGCTTTATAGCATTTAAAATTATATTTGTTGTAGTTATGTGTTTTTCTAGTCGGCAGCCGTAGTTTCGAAAAATTATGCGCCGAAATTTTGTTGGGACAGTATTAGGTGAAATTTTGGGTCGAACTGTTATCGAAAACTATTCCAGGGTGCGCATCGTAGAAAATACAATTTCGTGAACCTGCCAACATTTTCGCCACAGCAGCCAAAAGGAACGAGGTTGGAAAAATGTGTTCTTGTCGTCGCAAATTTTTTTTCAGTGTTTCCATATTTCGTAATTTCTAAAGATGTGCGGCGTTGCCGTCCCAATATCTAGGGGATGCGGGCGTTGCCATCCTCATTTCTCAGGATGTCGGGGCTGCCAACCTGGTTTCTAAGAATGCGTTGGGTTGGAGTCCGAGCTAGAAGGCGAATACCAGTATTTTGAAATGCGAACATATCCCAATTTCACCACCCTGCCCGTGATACTGGGAGCCCGCTTAGCCGAGCCACCCACCCGCTGGTCCCACTATTTCCGCGTCCATTTTCGCATTTTTAGTGGGTCGCAGTATCGCTGGCGATTCCGTCGGCAGTCACACTGGAGAAGCGGAACGAAGCGGACGCAGGGCGAAAAATACAGATACTTTTCGGGGAAGTGATACTTCTTCGTATTCGTGCGTGGTTTCGTTTCGTCGAGAGAAACTGCACAAGTCGCAAGTTAGTGGAAAGAAGTGCGCACCGTCGAGTGGAATGCGTGCAGTGCCATCGCGACCGAAAAGTGCAATTAGTGCTCGCGAGTGAGTGTGTTTGTGCCACCCGACGTGAGAGATAACGTGAAAAGGGAAAATACCTCCTGAAGCAAAACTAAAATATGCTTAAACTACGGTTTGGCCAAATTGCCAACTAGCCAAAAGTAACGAGCACACCGAAACCGAAAAAAACCAGCAGTTCGAAAAGAGGTAAATACAAACTGTCTAAGGTGTTTGGCACTTGGTGGTGGTTGGAATCTCTGAATCGCTCGCTGCTTGCATAAATTACTAAGCAAAATAAATACTTGCCCATTTTGCTATGTAATATTTGCAAATGCCATTGATAAATTTATTGGGGAAAGGCGCATTATTCCGCGAACCGAGCGTAAGGGGAATCGCGGGCCGCACAGCTACAATATATATTCACAATATATACTTTTCATACGTTCGCTGAGCTCCGTGGGCCCAAAAGAGCGATACGAAATTCCCAGAAACGCATTTTCTAATTTAGACCGATTTCTGAGAAGTGACAGACAGCCCAGGCGAGCCAGCAGATACAAAGATACTCGTACTCGTACTCGCACTCACTCTCACAGATACACAGGCGGCAGGCGGACTCTCTCACACACACGGGCACGCGGAGTGGTTCGTGCGGCTGTGTGTGTGCGCGCTTGTGTGATGTTGGCAGCCAGCTGCCGTTGTTGTTGCTCCCGCTGCTCGGGCTATTGAATGAAAAATGCTGCTGCAAACATTTAACACCGCAAGCCAAGCTGAAATGAAGCTGGCCCTCACACGGACGCGCCACTGAAACGCACACAGCGCCGCCAGATACGAATACAGATGCAGATGCAAGCGCACGAGCAGATGCGGATACAGTGGAGCCTCGCCACTCACTCACATTCCCCTCTGTGTTTTCTTCCCACAACGAACCTAACCGTATCGAATATCTCTGGTTACATGAACTGCCAGAACTTGTATTGATACCCCGTGTTGTGCTTGGCGCTCGAAGTTGGCGACTTCCTTGAGTAGTTGGGACATCTCTTAGGAGAAATATCTATCTGCATTAGAAATATCTTGAGATTGTCGCCCTTTTTTCAATTAAAATTCTGAATTAAATAGCAACACTTAACGGAAAAACGGTTGGAAAACGGTTTATGGTTACAAATATGTCGTTCTATTTTGACCAATCCTACTCAATATTTCAAAATATATATAAAAATTAAAATAAAATACCTTATACATTTATACAACATAAGCACTTACCAGTTAACTTTTACGAAAGCGAGCTTAAGTCGCATCCGGTTAGTTGCTTCGCCGCGAGCTTCACTGTACCTGCACTGCTCTCCCAGCCGCACCACTACCAGTCCAATATCGAGGCCTGCTTGCTGCTGTTATGGCCCAGAGCAAAGTGGTTGTTGTTGCTGGGCCTGTTGTTGGCCATGGCTTCTTGCTAAAGGCGTATGAGTGTAAAGGTGTAGCGGCTGAATTCGGCCGAAGCCGTACAACAACAATTGGTAAGAGAGGTAGGGCGCAGGGAGGGAGGGAGGAGAGGAAGGTTGGTAGGGGAACATGGGAACAGCGGTCCTCCTCTTGTTGTTGTAGTGGTAGTTGTACCCTTCGGAGGAAAAGGTGTTATTAACTTGGTTTGTAATGCGTCAAATTGTTGTTGTCTGCGCTCGTTTCTCTCCGTGTGCCGTGTACATGTGCATGTATGTATGTGCGCGCGTGTGTGTGTGTGCACTTTTTGATTATTCTTGGTAAAACCCGCTTTTACCATCTTCTTCCGCTCATTTCCTTGAATTTTCGTATTAAACTTGAGAGCGTTTTCAATTTTTTTAATAGCTTTTCCCGTGAATTGGTGTTTCGAACACAGGATAAGTGCAGTGTGAGTGCTGGAGCGGGACAGCAGCTGCCCAGAGGGAGAGGCATATAGCGATCTGGCGAAAAAATGCCAAATTGTCTGCCCAGCAACAAAATAGGCTCTCTCCTTCGCACACCAATCATAGGTAGACCGTTGGCCTCTTTCTCGCACCCCCACCCACCATCTCTTTCGCTCTTTCATCCCATTGTTGTTTGTTTTTCTCTTGTTTTCGATGAGATTTTCGTCGGAAATTTGTTATTGTTTATTGTTAATTGTTCGCGTGAATTTGTTCAATTGAAACGCAATGCCAAAAGTGAAATGTGGGCAAAACACTCAATTGTGAGTGTGTGAGTGGATCTCGAGTGGGTTCACAAGGGGAAACGAGGCGGTGGGGGGTTCCATATGGGGATGCTTTGCAGGGAACTGCAATCCACAGAAAATCACACACATTCATCTACGTTTCTACTTCCAGTTACAAGGCCACAAGAGTGCTGAATTAGCTTCGCAATACTCCAGCACATCGGATCCCCCAGATGCTATTCCATATACATATTTATTCCATTTACGTACATATTTATGTATGTTGACATAATCTCAGTTACACCACACAGAACTTACCTATTAAGAAGATTTTCCGCAATCCTAACTCGGTTTGTTTCCGTTGAATAGCAATTACAACGAACTCACCGCAGTTGCAAAGCAATTGGCACGACCATCCAGAAAAACTACATAGATATAGGGTATTAGGTCCCTAGAAAGCGGGGAAGTTATTCTCTGATTAAATGAAGATACACTGCTGAATTTACATACGTATGGTATGTATGTACACATATGCCAGTTGGAAGCCCTAATATAATATTTCTCAATTCCCATAGTAACCCATTTGCAAGCATGACCCATAAAACCAAACCGAACATGGTTTTAAAAAGCAACTAAAGCCCAAAACCAGTTCAAGTGTGGCTTATGCAAATGATTCCCTCTGCTTGTTTGCTTGGCCAATAGTAATAATAATAGCATCTAGTGAGTTGACCTTGGCTTCCCCTCGTCCTCGTCCTCTTTCTTATCGTTATCTCGGCGCATGTCAACCTGCGCCCGCACCACCCACTTCACCCCGTCTGCCTTGCTTACCTACATATTTGCTTTTCCGAGGAAAAGCCAACGAAATGCTTTGATTGTTCTTAGAATTCCATTCGTTTCCACCTTGCCAGCGTTTCTGTTGATAAGCGACTTTGTTTGTGAGTAGCTGGTGGGCTGAATAGATGTATGTACATACGCACATCTGTATTATATTCTAGTGCTGATTTCGCGGTACGTAGTAATTTATCAATGAATTTGTATATTGTGTGTGCGGACTACTTATTGGCAAAGGTCGATTTAATTCTGAGTTAGCTGATTTCGTAATCGCTATATTTAAGGCCGCTCAAGTTTGTACAACCATACATATGCACACATGTGTTTAATCTATCGATCCATTGATGGCTGCCGTGTCGGTTCATAAAAAGCCGGGTAACTAGGGCCCAGGTATTCAGTTAGGAACTCCGCTCGCAGCTCCAAGCAGGTAAATCTAAACACCTTCATATTGAGTCATTTACAAGTGGCAGCGGAACCGACCGCAGTCACGTTTCTATAAACTTGGGGTAGGTAATGCCTTTTGAAACGGAGAATTGCTAGAGCTTAGCACCATCATTCAAAACAGTCACGGGTCGAAAGATAAATATTCCATTGCTCTCAATCCCTTGAGCCCAAGATTAGAAGTCATAGTCGATTACACTGTTCCAGATACAGCCAACTATTCGCTAAGCTGCTAGTTGTTCTAGCTGAGCTCTGTCAAACAATCTGTGCGATGAGTTCAGAAAGCTAGTCTTGATTCCCCGTAGTTCGTGATAATGCGATTGTGATATCACAATGCCAGCACAACTCCTCAAATATGTAAATGCAATACGAATATTCAGGTAGTTGGTGTTCCGTTACTGCTTCCGTAACAAAAGTTCTGGAGCTGATGGTCGTAACTTCGGCTCAGCCCAGACAAAAGGAGAGCCCGCGACTCGAATGTATCTTTTTTGCTTTTTTTTTTAAAGAACTAGATACATTCGGGCCTAACCCGGACCTGGGGCGAATTACGTTGAATTTTCGTTGGTGCTTTCGTTTAATCAGAAAACCGCACACATGCCCAGGTACAGAAACTCCATGACTTCACCGGCATGTGAGTACCGTGTGCATAATTTCCACGAATTTTTCCACCCATATGAGTGAGTGAGTGAGTGTGTGTGTGTGAGTGTACGATGGATTAATAATGGAGCGCCGTGAGTCCGTTGTGTGCGAATTTCCAAGAAATCGCCTCTTCACATTAAATGTTAATATTATTATTGTCGGCATTATCGTTTTCGGGCCTAGATAATCAACGCCCGCCACCCCGCCCCCGCGCGATAAGAGAGTTCTGGCGAGATTACAGACTCTGGCGTATAGGCAATATAAACAAAGTGTGCTCCTATGTACGTCAATGGAGCTTTTGTACCACTAGGCCCTCCCAAGACCCCGTCGAACATAATCAGTCACGAACTTTGTTTAGCCCGTGTCCGAGCGATTTTGCTGGCAACGCTAATTAAAGCTCCATTCATACATACACGTATGTACAAATGTACATTTATCGTACATGGGTTTGAATGCCGCCATCGCCTTGGCGATGAGAGGCGTTTGTTTACTTATCACTTTCGACCCGCGGCGCAATGAATGGGCAAATTTGGAACCGGAGTGCCCGAAGCGTAATAAATCTCATTTCAGTTTTCCTGCGAAAAATATATCAAAACGAAATACACTTTCCCAAGATCCCCCAGATCCCCCAGATACCCATGCCCCACTCCAGTTTCTTGGCACTTTACTGCTCCGCTTTGCATGTGATTTCATTTTCGAGCGAACTTCATTTGCGAATTCCCAGTAAATGCAAAGCAAAATGGAAACAAAAAGAGAGAAACACATACAAAATATAAGAAGCGATGTCGGCAGCAGCAAAAAGTAATTGAATTCGCTTTAAAATCCTACGCCTCCATCCCGCGGATTTTTCGCCTCTGAGTCGCTGGCTTTTTCATTGTTTTTCATTGTTGCTGGGGTCTCTTCTCACCGCCAGATTCCTTCACTTGGCAACAGAGTCCACTGGGTTCCTCACAAGTCCCGCTCGCAATATGTTCATATAATAAAATGTATTTTGTTTTATACCTATGACAGCTTCGTGATCACGTTGTTAGCACGTTACTGGGCTTACTGCAAATAGATACATTTCATAACCACTGCAGCAGATACATATATTATATAAAACGAAATTGCTCTGTACTCACATGCATGCCATTGCTAAGCAATCCTTTAAAGGATCAAGTTCAGTGTCCGATCCGCTGGAGTAGCGCAGCAATGCAGCGAAGCACTCTTTGCATAGGGTATTCAGCTGCTTGCTTGACTCCCGATCGCGGCTCCTTTGTGCCCACTTTGCGTGCCTCATGCGCCCCGTTGGCCGCGATTCATGCTGCTCTTGGCCGCTGTGGCTTTGGCTGCTTTGTTGTGACAATTTCTGCGTAAAGCGTAAACCTATGTACTGAGTTGTTGGCCGAGTTGCTGGGAAGGTTACAAAACTCATTCCGAGTGCCGTCTCTCCAAATGGTTTTTTAATAATGGGCCTTGGCGACGGGGCGCGGTCCATGTACAAAAATTACTCACTTGCGGATAGTAAGATTGGATTTGCATTGTGTGAACTTACATAGAAAAAGTCCAGTAACGGGTACTGTACAAATTGGCAATTCTTGTATGAGTTCATTATGGCTACCCAACCCCTTTTCAGTGTTTACATGTGTATTTGAGTATGGGTATTCACTTCTTAGTCGTGGGCTTGTGGTTCCCCTATCTGCTTCAAGCTGTTCGATTGAGCGGCTTCACCATTTGAAATTAATCTAAATTTGCCTTCATCCATTCATTCGGTTAGAGCGCAAACCTCGTTTCGTATTTATATTAGTTTGGCTATTTTTAGAGATACCGTTGCCTATAAATCCGTAATAAATGCAAATGAAATTCACTTTGCTGCTTCACATACATATGCATGAGTGCATGTATCTTCTCTCCAATCCTGCAAACTTATCACCACATTTCTAGGGGGTGAATCCCCTCCGTTCATTAGGAGTCCCTTATTAGCCATTCAAACATGGAGACCACTCGCTGCTGTTGGCTTTCTTCGCCCATCGCCATCCGTCGCTGGCCGGCAACATTTATCAGCATTTTTACCCCGAACAAGTTATGTATTAGATCATTATCCGCATTTGGATTTCTGACGAAATTCCGCATTGTCTGCAACGGCGCAGAAAAACTTCAGCTGCCTGCTGGCTCCGCGTGGCAACTGATAGCGGCGGCGTGAAGCAAAAATACAAATGCAAATAAAAATAAAAATAAAAATAAGAGTAAGAAGTAGAGTTCAGCTCGACGAGCCCTCGAAACACTCGTACTCATTCGGTCGGCAGCCTGCTGCTACTCATTGTCTGAGTGACTCATGGAACGCCTTGTCCTACCTACGGATGCCCTCGGGGTGCACAGCGCGAAAAAGGCGGTGCTATTGTTGTTATTCTCACGTTGATGGATGATGAACTTGCTTTATTACGCTTTCAATATTTGTGCATGCATTTATGTCCCAAATGCCCATAATTCCGAAGCGGGTTTTAGGATTAGTTTGGGGTATCTGCTTTAAGGGAACTCGGCTATTTCCTCAGTGCAGCTGCTCGAGCGGATCCAGTCACTCCTGCCCGACCCGAGTTCAGTTTATCTGCCGTTTCAGTTGTGTATTTCCATTGAAAAATTTGCCATTTGTTAGCTGGCTGCCGTCTCATGCGGGTCTCTTGGAATCCGAAGTTGAATCTTGAGTTCAAGTCACTCTTTTGTATTTCATCATAGTCGTAAATACCCAGCAAATGTGGCCGGAGTCGCTGAGTCTCTGGTTAGGGGGAAAAATGATAATAATTATCTGCGGCTAATGCGAACGATCGTGTCAAACGCTGGCCAGAATGTATTGATTACTCACCTGATCCCATCGTACGATTTGAATGCGATAAATTGCCTGTGGCACGTGCGGCATGGAGTCGTGCATGGGAGGTGAAAAAAGTATCTACGTATCTAAAAGTGTGCGAATTACCGTTAGGCAGCCAACGGTGCATACAAATGGAAGCGCTGGGGCCTTTTGATCCACTGGACACCCTGTAATTTAAACGGCAGTGACCGGCCGCACATATCGTTTTCCGACTAAAACACTTCATTTATAATTTCCCGATTCTCGTTAAAAAGCTGCAATTTTCGACTGTTTACCGCTTGTGGGTCGCATTTCCGGGAAGCAACCTCAATATTTTCCCTTGCATTTTTGGGAAAAGTTGTGAGTATACCTACATACATGTATGTATGCACTGTTAATTGCTTAAATTGTTCAACAAGGTCTCCCTTTCTGTTTGATTAGGCGCTCACATACGACTCTACCTACGTACTTAAGTACATATGCATATGTGGATACCCATAGTAGACTCGTTAGGTGATTAGCACAAGGGAATTCCATAGAATTCGTTCGGGCCTGATATCAGCTGAGGTCGAAGAACGTTCGATAAGTTTGCAGTGATAGACGCTCGTCTGCAATCATTGTTCCAGTGAATTCCACATTCGCGGCCCACCCAAATCAAGTCGAATTATGTACATATGGGCGAGAAATTCTGCATAACTGCCCACTGCAATTGCCGCAGGATTCCCGGAATTGATAATCATTGTTTCCGGCCCAGTCCTGGAAATTTTCGTATTTTCAGTCCATCGATGCGATAAACAATCTTGATTAAGTTCACATAAACACCGCGATCTTAATCGTTAGCGCGAATACCTAGTTTATGGTCAAAATAAGGCGTATTTCATGGGAGGGTGCGTGCTTAACACGCTTTAAATATCGAACAGATAAGACGAACTGGGAATAATATAATACATATATATTGTCTGATTTCTAAATAAGGCAATCTGATATTAATATTCCCTTGAATTTGCAATTGATTGTTGCGCAGAATATCATCTTCTCGGCTCATTAAAATGAGAATTCTTGACAGTCCCTTTTTTTAGCTCTCGAATTCAAGGAATTCATAATATGTTCAAGTCCGTTGCTAGTTTTACGAAGCTTATTTTAATACGAACCAATGATGTCAATCTCCCAGAACTGGAAATACTATTTGTTGGTAAATGTTAGGGGTTTCTTTCCATGTACATATGTATCCTCAGTAAATGTGTAAAAGAACTCATAAAGCTAAATCCCCGTCATCACGAATCACCACCGATCAGTCAGAAGGCGTTATTGGCCAATCCGCGATCCAATTATTTCGCCATTGAGTGAAAGGCCACCTGTATACTTCGGTTGAGAAACCGCAGTGACATACTCATACTTTCATACTCACACTCATCGCCGCGCTTCCGACTTCTGGTAACTACCAAGAATTCCTACCACTTACGGATGAGTCAGAAAATAGACCAACCAGTGCCTTATTGGTGTACCTTGGCTCCCATGTCGTGTGTGCCCACGGCCCAACTTGGGACTCGGTGACGCATCCTGGTGATTCGGCTGATTCGGGTGCGATAAGGATTTGTCAGTGCGAAGTCCGTTGCCCAGCAGAAGACCCATTTTGCGGGGAGACAATGACGTGCCCACGAATTAAGTAGAATTTAATAGTGAATAATATGGCGTGTTCTGTGAATGTGCGGTTGATTTCTGGAGCACTTATCTCCAACTTGACCCACAAGTCAGTCATATGCGATTGGAACCAAGGATGGAATCAGACCCTACGTGCTTGGCGTCGTGTGTGCCCGTCTTCCTCATTGATTCATCGACTCTCCATGGGCAGGTTTCTAAAAATAGGATTTCGGCTTGGTGAGCAAGTGAGCGGTTGTACTTGCTCTTCGCGGGAGCACTAACTGGTGCGTGGGATTGGAATGCCGTTGTTTATCGTCCTCGTCTGCATGACGAGATCACCCAGATCAAACAGATCCCCCAGATCCCCCGGAGATGAGTCAGTTCGTGGGGGAGATACATATGTACTTAGACTCTGCGGCACAGAAGATCAGCTGGGGGAAGACCATTAATCAGAATAGTTAGACAGTGGCAGTTAATTGCCCATTTGACCGGCCATCAAGTGAGTCCCTTCTGCCACTGTGGAACTTGTCCGTCCAAGTGGCTAATTAATGCACTGGAGAAGCCCCCACCAAGCGGATTGGCTCTTTGCCGTAGGTCAAGACACTTCGCACGCCGCTGGGGAAACAAACTGGGCAAAACTCGTTCCATTCGGAAATCGGCTATTTCTGGATCTTGCGAAATGCGCTGAGAGCAAATACTAACGAAATCGAAACGTGCTAACTGAGCTAGTCAATTATTAAACCAAAATGAACGGAGTGATCATCTTCCCTACCCCATGTAATAGTTACTGTTTGTATGTTAACTGAGTGCACAACCCCCATTCCTCCATTCCAGAAAGCCAACGGAAGTCCGCGCAAACAAGGACTTTGCCCCATCTCGAGCTTCCAATGGGTCATCACCTAAGCAAGTTCTCAGCACGCGCCAATAGCCAGGAAAAGAGTCATCCGCCCGCCAGCTCGAGCAGCAGGGAATCCGCAGCACTAGTAGAGGAGACCATCGGCCTGGACGAGGAGCAGCTGCAGGTGGAAGAGGAGATCCTCCCGGAGGCCGCATCCCCGACAGCCGCCACATCGGCGGCGGAAGTGCGTCAGATCATCATCAAAATCCAGCTGGCCAAAATGGAGAATGGCAATTCGGTAGCCGCCGCCGGTCAGGTGGAAATGCTGGCGGAGCAGGAGGAGCAGCAGCGGCACTGCGAAGGTGGTGCCACCAACAACGCCTCCCTGTCTGCGGACTCGCTGAATGCGAACGGGCAGATTGTGAACGTGACGCTGGAGGGCGGCCATGGGGAAGTGGGCGTGGCGACAAATCGAACTGCTGGCAGTTCGGCGGAAGCGCCAAAAACCGAACGACACCCCGTGAATAACAACAACTCAGCGGGTAGCGTCGGCGCTGCGATAAGTACGTTACAACTACACGACGGCCGCGCGGAAGACGACGGCGGCGACGACGACGACGACGACGACGACCTGGATGAGTCGCTGCTGCGTCGGCGTCGCAGCAACAGCCGCAGCAACAACCACATGCACCACAACCACGAGGCCGAAGTCGTCGAGTACTGCGAAGTGCTCGAGTCGCTGCCAGTCAGCAATATGTTGTCGGCGGGAACGCAACACAGCAGCAAGCAAGGTGGGCAAAAGTCGGATCTCCGCAAGTGGGAAGTGCACAGTGAGAAATCGGACGGGCTTGGCGAGCCAAAAATATTCATACGAAGCAGTAGTGAAAACTATTTGGCTGCGAGTTTGCAGTGAATCAGGGGGAATTCGGGGTGATTCAAATATATGTATAACCGTGTGGTAAAATCCAACCATAACAATCCGAACGGAAATAGCTGAGATCCAGACCAGAGCCAAAAATATTTCCAATTAATCACCAGAAGTAGCTTTCGAGTGTTAAATTGGAAATGTCACTTTCATGTCAGGTCAGTGAATTCACCGAAAATTAGACGGGGGAATTTTGTACATAAAGTCATTTTTCACTGTGCACAACAGGCCAATGTAGATGAGAATCAGAGCTATTATCATCAAATTTAAGTGAATCAAATTACTAATAAATTCTGTTCTCCGAAATACAGTTTCCAGAAGCAATAATAGCAACAGTTGCTGCCGCAGTCGCAGCAGTAAAGCTCTATCGATGGGCGCAGCAACATCCTCCGGATCCGGATCCGCATCCGCATCCGCATCCTCGAAGCGGCGGTGCTGCAAGTGCAAGTGCCGCGACGCCTTCCGAGGATTGAGGGACATGCTGCCGAGCAGCAGTTCCGTGAGCAACAAGAAGGATGCCGGTGTCGCTGTGGCGACGGTTCCGAGGAAATCCCGGCAGGCAGACCGCCGCTCCACACCGCCCACGCTGGGCACATCTTGTGGGAGTTCCCAGCACCGGATGCAGAGTCAGAGGAAGCGGAACTCGGTCGCCGTTCCGGACGCGAGCCATCACCATCATCAGGTCATCATTCGGATCACATCGCCGCGCTTCGTGGTCGAGTCGCCCAATGGCGGCCGGGTAACTGTGGTCACCGAGCCCGCCCCCCCGTCGCCCCAGCCTCCGCCTCAGCCACGCCCCCTGGCCACGGTCGCCCCCGCCGCCACCGCCGGAGTGGCAGGCGGCCACGCGGGACTCGGAGGCCGCAACATGACCGTGCACTCGCAAATCGATTTCATGCACTGCCTGGTTCCCGATCTGGAGAAGATCACGAACAGCAGCTTCTACTGGGGCAAGATGGACCGCTACGAGGCGGAGCACCTGCTCGAGGGCAAGCCGGAGGGCACGTTCCTGCTGCGCGACTCCGCCCAGGAGGAGTTCCTCTTCTCGGTCACATTCCGCAAGTACGGCAGGTCACTGCACGCCCGCATCGAGCAGAGCGGTCACAAGTTCAGGTGAGCACTCCGCGTCCTTATCTCCTCGGAGTTCTCGGAATCCGCAGTTCACATTCATGGGCGAGCGAAACGAGTGAATGACATACGATAGACAATTCCTAGGAATTTCGATTGAATGACGTTCATTCTAGTGCAACCTAGAAACTAATTAGATCGAAACTACTTGAACTTTTTAAATACGCGTATTTCAAAACTCGTTCCTTCATGCCATGCAAACCATTGAAGCTAAGCTGGGACTAACGATACCCTTCTTCTCCACAGCTTCGACTGCCACGATCCGTGTGTGTTCACGGCGCCCACGGTGACGGGACTTCTGGAGCACTACAAGGACCCCGCCTGCGTGATGTTCTTCGAGCCCTGCCTGACGATACCCCTCCACAGGAGGCAGACCTTCTCCCTGCAGCAGTTGTCCCGGGCGACCATTGTGTCCAGCACCAGCTACGACGGGATCAACCAGATGGAGCTGCCTGGCCGGCTGAAGAGCTACCTCAAGGAGTACCACTACAAGCAGAAGCTGCGCGTCAAGCCCATCGACCAGAACACCCCGGTGCCGTACTACGGCGACGTATAGCGGGAGGAGCAGCAGGTGGGCTTCACCTACTACGAGGACGTGGAGAGCGGCAGCGAGGTGGACGAGGACGACGACGAGGGCGTCAACATCCGGGTCTCCTATGTGCAGCACGCCGAGGTGGTGGCCCAGCTGCAGCAGGTCACCACGGCGTCGGCTCCGCTGGCTCCATTTGCTCCGTCAGCTCTATCAGCTCCAGCGCCTGCGTCTTCCTCCAGATCCTCCAACCTCCAGGAGCACCTCACCAGGCTGCCCAACCGCATGGCAGCCGCCTTCGGCCGGATGTCGGCCAATCTGAATTGCTACCAGAAGACCGTCTCCACGCCGGAGCGCCACTCCTCCTCCTACTCATCCTCCTGATGGACAGGCAGCAGCCGGAGGAGCGGACCCATCCCAGAAACCAAAACTCAACCTGAGACAATCCCAGTGCAGCGTGTGCCGCATCCATAAGTTTAGAGATCAAACGGAAGGCATGAGCTACAGAAAAGCATGAGAACACAACAAAATCGCTGGCTTGCTACAAGACTGTCGTGGATCAAAAACCAAATGTGTACCATATCTCATAGATAAGAATGCGACTCGGATAGATTTTGAGTTGGGGCATTCTTGAGAGCGAGTCGGCGGAATGTAGAATCAAAATCGCAGATAGCTAATTGTACTATAAACTAAGTATTATGTATTATTACCTAAAGCAAACCACCCCGCCCTCTCCCACAGACATAAGTATTGCAAAAGGAAAGGCGCTGGTATTCTTGTAATATTTCGATGTATTTATTTGAAGTATGGAATCTGAATGATGTGTTACTGTTACGTGTAAATATGAGATACAGATACAGCTAAGTTAGTGCAGAACTCTCACTCTCTCTCATTAGCCAAATTTCCAAATGTAATTTTCGCCTATTTATAAATATATGTATGTATTTTATTTATTTATTCGAAGTGATTTCGTTCCCAAGCGAGTGCTTTGTTTTTACAAAACCGTCAGTTGTACACGTGTAGACCATTTGTAAATATTACCAATTTTCGCATAAGCCGTAGCTATATTAAATGTAATGAATTATAAATCGTGTATTCCTACGTAGGTGGTTGCTGTTGTTCGTAAACATTCAATAAGCAGTTGTTTCCCAACATATTTAATGTATTTTACATATCCAAAATGTTGATGAGCATGAGTATCAATATTCAGCAACAAATTGAAAAAAGAAAGCCAAACAAATAAAGTTGATCAAGATATTAGCAGAAATAAGAGTGAGTTTTGAATCAAAGGCATATTGCCAGCCATTTAAGAAAGTATTCTTGATACATTTCAATACTATGGCATTTGCAAGTTGTTTAAAAAATTACAGTACGATGCAAATTTATCTTTATTTTTAAATATAAAGAATTGCATTTTTATAAAAGACGATTATTCAATGAAAATTAAAGGTAAGGGTAACATTAGAAACGTTATTCAAAGAAAGCAGCACAATGCCAGTTACAAATTTCAAAATGTAAATGAGTTTCGAAATATGCTGATAGTGTAAACAGCCAGCCCAGTGGGAACTGGCTAAAAACGCCTATCGGGCTATCGATGAGTGCTCATCGCTAGGGGTAATTTGCGACCACCCCGACACTGGTCACACTGTTCTGGTCGCGTCCATAAGTGTACAATTTTTCACCAGCTCGGTTTGTTTTTTCCGACCAGGCACGGCACCTTCGATTCGCCCCGACTTCCGACTCCGATCCGTTTTCGGATGATAGCTCTGAGTGCGCTGCTAACCAAATATACGATCGGTATTATGAGCAACCTAAGCAATGGCAACAGCAACAACAACCAGCAGCAGCAGCAACAACAACAACAGGGCCAGAACGCACAACAGCAAGCACAGAACGAAGGGGGCGCGGGGGCGGAGTTCGTGGCGCCACCGCCCGGACTAGGGGCCGCAGTGGGCGTGGCGGCCATGCAGCAGCGCAACCGCCTGCTGCAGCAGCAACAGCAGCAGCACCACCACCAGCATCAGAATCCCGCCGCCGAGGGAAGTGGCCTGGAGCGGGGCAGCTGCCTCCTGCGCTACGCCAGCCAGAACTCCCTGGACGAGAGCTCCCAGAAGCATGTCCAGCGGCCGAATGGCAAGGAGCGCGGCACGGTGGGGCAGTACAGCAACGAGCAGCACACGGCGCGCTCCTTCGACGCCATGAACGAGATGAGAAAGTAAGGATAACTCGAGGTCCTGTCCGAGGATAAGTTCGTATAAGTATACGATTGATTAAGTCGTTTCGCATCACAAAGCGGGAGGCGGGGCTTGTCAGGACCTTGGTGCAGGATCTCAGCATACAGAGTACATTACTTTTCTCTACTTAGCCCGAGAAGAACTAGGTCTAGAATTCAACAACACGCCACGAAGTATACGAAGCTCATTAGTAGTATATCTTTATTCCTACACGAAGAAGGTTTTCAATAAGAATGCCGTAGGTGGAGCGCTGGATATTAGTACCTATTATGGGCAGTAGAAAGCACTCAGCAAGCACTTAGATCTGATTTTATGCTTTGCATCACAGAACTATGTATGTTGTTTGCCTGATTATGTAAATAAGCACGCCTAAAACAGTTTCAAAAAGTTCCAAAAGTCGCATCAGTCATTCACACATGTATTTTTTGTTTGTTCAAGAGCAAAGCAACTTCAAGTCAGGTTCAACTATTATCTGTCAACTATTATCCAGTCATTATTTCCATGTCGAAACCAGCTGATCTGAGTTTCTTCAATCAACAAAACTTTCATTTGCAAAATGTGAACTTTTCGATGACCTACCTCAAAGTAATATAAATAGAACTCTGCTAACTGCATTCTATATTAAAGCACCTCCTCTGTTCCCGGACAAAGGGGCATAATTCAATCCCTGCATGTTGGACGGGGGCAGGTGGACCCGCCTGTCGAGTTTTAAGATTTGGGCCAAGATGCGAAAATAAAATCGCTGAAAATGTCAGACGATCGTCACTCACATATTTGCGCAGTTCGCTTTGTTTATCTGGCCGTTGCTAATATTTGTGTTTGCACACTACAAATGTATATTTGCCGACGCTTTTGTCGTACGGCCATTCGCATTAATTATTGTCTAGTTTTATTATGATGAGTTTCTTACGCCTTCGGGTTTCGCATTGGGCCACGACCTTGAACTTGGTGCGGCAAAAAATTATATTCGTTTCGAATCACGTTTCGATTCCGCTTCCGCTTTTGGTTGGTTTTGGAAAACTACTGGGCGCATGGAAAATTTATTGGCAGCTTACATAAAACGAGTTTTTTTTTATCGAAAGTGAATGTGGTGTAACCCAAAGAGTAAGCAGAGCGTTGTAATCTGTATTGTTTGTTGGGAATTGATTTAAGCAAAGATTTCGGGAGGTGCACGCATTACTATATTTTTCATAGGTTATACTTTACTATAATTATAACACCTTTCGATTTTGAAGACAAAAGACTAAGATTTCGAGTGGTCATCAAGACTTTATGGCGCCATAATTTGCACAGCCAAAATTACAAAATTATCCCCGTCTCTTTTTTACAAAACAAAACATTTTCCTCTCGAAAAAATCCAAGCACTTTTATTTACAAACATATCAAACCTTGAAGATATTTAGCACGCTTTTAAACTGTTTATTTGGCAATCAAAACGATCCATTGCTAGAGGAATTTGAAAAGCTTGCAATCGATTTGAAAGTCTCAATATTGTCGGTACATGACGGTTACTAATAAAATAAGCAGTCTAGAAAATTTGTATTATACCTTATATACATATAAGTATTTTTACCTTTTAAAGGCAAAAACAGCTCTGTGATGTGATACTGGTGGCCGACGATGTGGAGATCCACGCCCACCGCATGGTGCTGGCCTCCTGCAGTCCGTACTTCTACGCGATGTTCACCAGCTTCGAGGAGTCGCGGCAGGCGAGGATCACCCTCCAGAGCGTCGATGCCAGGGCCTTGGAGCTGCTCATCGACTACGTATACACTGCCACGGTGGAGGTGAACGAGGATAACGTGCAGGTCCTCTTGACCGCCGCCAACCTGCTCCAACTCACTGATGTGCGAGATGCCTGCTGCGACTTCCTGCAAACCCAGTTGGATGCGAGTAATTGCCTCGGCATCCGGGAGTTCGCCGATCTTCATGCCTGCGTGGAGCTTCTCAATTACGCAGAAACCTACATCGAGCAGCATTTCAAGTAAGTGACGAGAATGCGATGACGCACTCTGGCCAGACAAATATAAAACTGTTTTGATTTGCCTGTTTACAGATAGGAATCAATTTCTGTTTCTGTATCTCTATCTGTTTACTGTTTACTTTTCGACTATATATTTCGAGACAACTCAATTTAGTTTGTTCTATATCTGCTGATACGTATTTGATTTATCCATTTATATTCCAGTGAAGGGCCTGTTCATTTAATATTTATCAAAGTGCATAGAATTAAAGAAGTTTTTTGTGCTCGAAGTTATTTAAAAAAATTTAAGCGCTTCTGGCTCGACAACAATTATTTTTCCTTATATTATAAAAGATTAAGTGCGTTTGCAAGTGTGTTTGGAACGCATCGAATCCGAAATAGTTCAACTCGGTTTTCTTATTTAATCATTAAAAAAACACTATACAATTGGTGACACTCACGTATGGTTGTCTCCCAGCATCTATTTTTAGACGTCATTTTTGGGCTTCCATAAGATCACGTTTTCAACCTTACATTAATTTTATTTTTGAATACAAATATTGATACAGCTCGAGTAAAACCCAAAGTTTCAGAATTATTTAGGTTCTCATTGGTTTCATCAGTCAGAAGCAAAACAAGTTAGTTATTAAATTAATTTAGCTGTCAACAGACGCAAAATCGAAAGCAAATGTGCAATATAAACCATTGAACCGGTTGCGATTATTTGTAGTTACTAAGCCTACTCCACTCATTCCGTGCGCCCCAGTACTTACTGCTTGTGTTTGGCTTACTTGCAGCGAGGTGATCCAGTTCGATGAGTTTCTGAACCTCTCGCACGAGCAGGTCATCAGCCTGATTGGCAACGACCGGATTTCGGTTCCAAAT